TTGAGATTGTCTGTACGTCACCGACGGCTTCAGAGCGATGTGTGGAAAGGGCCGGGCAGAGCGGGGAGCAGCGCTGCAACCTTTAGACAAATAAACCCCCGAAGTCGGTGGATTCTGCTCTGACAACTACGCCGTTTACTCGCGGGAGGAGCTCGGAGTTAACTGCTTTTATTAAATTAGCTTTTTACTTTAGTTTTTGGGATTTCAATGTTGATTTATCTTCACTGGAGCTTCTCAGCAGCTTCTGTGCACATCCGGTTCCAATGTTGTTGTTCGCGTCGTTAGCTCTGTCGGACTACGACTTCATATATATATAAAAATTGGACAAAGCTGGACATTACTTGGAGAAAAGAAAGCGAGGAGGTTTCTGGTGAGATCAGAAAACGTGTGTCTGTAACTTTATTCCAGCTGTCGTTGTACTTTACTGTGAAAGAGTTAGCATAGCATAGCCCTGATCGATCCGAGCTCCATTCAGAAAACAAACATTTTAGAAGTTGTTGTCCTGCTGACAGACCTGACAAAGCATCAGTTCATATGTTTAACAAATCTGCATCATGTTGTCGTTATTTCAGCATCAGTTTGATCCGTTTATTGCTATTAAATCACAGCAACATGTTTACTTTGGGTTCATACAGTTGTTGTAATGGTGAGTCGTGTTTATTCATGTTTTCGCGTTTCGCGTCGCGAGGAGAAAATTCGAGGTTGGTCTGAACATTGCTAGTCGTGCGCCTCTGGAACAACTAGGGGTTAAGTGTCTCGCTCAGGGACACATTGGTGGAATTGAACCCGGGTCTCTCACACCAAAGGCATGCGTCTCATCCACTGCACCATCGTCACCCCCCATGCATCGAGGAAGGGGAGGAATCAAATGTGTGGACTGACAGCAAAGTGGAATAATTCCTTAATAGCACCACTTAGCAAAACAAAAATGTCAGAATGAGCAGTGTTTAGGCCACTGCACAAAATATCAAAAATATACACGTCCACACTGCAAAGCCTGGCACGAGGTTTTCAAAATGGTTCGTTTTCAATTACCTCAAACGCTGCTTGAGTGTGGACGGAAGGACAAAACGCAGAGAAAAAGCTACGCTTTAAAAATATACGTGTGCATGTGGACGGGGTCAAGGAGTTCATTTTGAGTTAATTTCCCTGCCTCATTAATCAAATTTGATCGCTGGGCTCCAGCAGGCCCACCAGCTGTTTTGCCAGAGCGTTCAACAGGAATGTAAGGCAACATTTAATAGTCCTTGCAGATACATAAAAAGACTACTTGGGCCGATACATCCCATGTCAAGTCACTGCATTTTAGCCTCTTTGAATGTAAAGCACAAGTTATATTTTAACATACCTTTTCCAACATGCACTTTATCCTCTCATACAAATAATCAGGTTACTCCAATCGGTGCAGCACACAGAGGACAGCAGAGAGTAATAATGGATGTAACCTACTATTATTATTATTCATGCAAATGAAGAACATTTGACAAAAATACTTAGAGACAGAACAGACGTACAAGCGTGTAGATGAATGTGTGTGTTTGGCTTGTGTGTCTGCATCTGTGCGTGTTCACTGAGTGTGTGTGTGTGTGTGTGTGTGTGTCATTGCTTGTGTGTCAGGAGCTTGAATGAGTGATGCAGCATCACCTGGGGGAGCCCGCCAAGTCAAGCTGCGATAACCACTAACACTGAAAACACCTGGACCTGCACGGCTGACTGGATCGTGATATGCAGTTTGCTGTCTCACCGCACACACACACCAAAACAATGCAGGATAACCTTGATGTGTGGAAGTCTGTACCCACCTGTTTCTGCGTTCTCAGATGAGCAGACAGACATGCAGACAGGTTAAAGGTGACCTCTACCTGGACTCAACACACCGACAGAAACACACACACACACAATCGGCCGTCTCATAACTCTGCCGTGACCGACACTCGAGACAGATCAAACGCACACAGTGAGAGAGCGTACTAACCCGGCGGCAACATTGTCCATACTTCAGTCTCCACACACACCGTGTTAAATCCACATGTGACGCTGAGTGTGAGTTTCAGGTTTGCTGCAACGATATCCAGAAAACGATGTGAGAGAGAGAGAGAGAGAGAGAGAGAGAGAGAGAGAGAGAGAGAGAGAGAGAGAGAGCTGGCTGCTGTGATACTGAGGCAGAGAGCGACCTACAGCTCTGTTATACACTCTAACGTCGATTACTCTCTCTATCACCCTCTCTCTCTCTCATCATCATCTCTCTCGCTCGTCACCCTCCTCCTGCTGCTCGACCATCCCCACCTCTTCCACCCCTTCCCTCCCTCTCTCTCTCCCTCTCTCTCTCTCTCCCCCTCCCATCCATCTTCCTCACTCTATCCAAATCTATTTTTCCTCCTCGCTCTATGCCAACCCCCCTCCTGCTAAACACACACTGGAATGGAAACTTACAGATTCATTACTGCCGGGTAAAGATGAATAAATCTAAAAACACTATTTCATTCCCATCACTGAACACTTCCTTGACGTAAAGGATGATTCTGGTTCGTCACAACTTTGGCCTTTTTGTAGTTTTAACTAATTATTTCTATCAGTTAACTGAAGCCACACCCCTCTTAGTTACTGTCGCTGACTTTTATCACGGCGCTGCCAGTGTCAATTACTGCAGAGAAACATTTTTTGGAAAAAGCGATCTCAGAAAGACAGTTTTGCAGTTGCATTATACATCTGAAGGTTTTATTCAGGCTGTCAGTCTGACTCAAAGTGACGTAAAAACGCAGCAGGAACAGCGTTTGACCAGATCTTAGAAAAATACAGCCAAAAAAAAGGTTAGACAACGACTTCTTTTGCATCAGAGTCAATGGAGCGCAGCCATGAAAATGTCGGACCTCAGTTATGGCGCTTTTCCATTACCAGCTCAACTCGCCTTGACTCGACCCTGCTCCGTTTTCCATTGCAGATAGCATCCCTCAATGTAGCTCGTCGTCATAGCGACGCCACACACAACTGCCGCTACGTAATGTGCGGCCTCGCCAGTCTCCCGCGGGTCGCCGCAGGCTTCCCTCGCCGCCACCTGCGGAGCTCCTCTACTTCGAAAACTTTCAAGCACGTTTTTGTTCCGCCATCACTTCTCGTAAAACTGTCAATATTTGAAATCTACACAGCTGATTTCTCACCTCAAAACTTCTCAGAAGTGGATTTAGTGATGAAATAACGTACGAAAACTGTAAAATATAAACTTCCTGTTGCCTCTGTCTGGCGCACACAATGATGATGCAGTGAATAGTGACGATCCTCTCTGACCAATCAGCAGGGTGATACAAAAAAAAAAGGTCCAACTTTTCCACAGTGGAAAACCAAACAAAGGCGAGTCCAGCTGGTACTGTGCAGTGAATAAAAGGCGCGTTAGCGAGAGTCCTATACTGCGCTGTGATTGGCCAGCTGCATATTCGGCGGTGTGGATTAGCGAAGGGTTAATTGTCAGAAACATTGTAATGACCAACTAAGAGGTTAATGGTTAAGAAACAGAAGCGGTCAGACGCTTTCTCGATAAAGAATGAAAGAACTCTAGAACCTGTTCTTGGGCTGAACGATTTGTGGGCGGGCGGGAATCGAATTGCGATTTTTCTGCCAGATATCGTGTTTATGATTTGATTTGCGACTTTTTAAAAAAAGTTTAGCTTAAGTTCAATATTCATGGTGTGTTAGATCAAACATGTCATGGAGCATTACAACATGAGACACCATCAAAACGGTGATGTAGCACATTTTTCAAAATAAAACACGCTGTGCAGATCGTATAACAAAAATCAACACAGTTAAAACAGACCAAAGAGAAACAATTCAACTACGTAGCCTATTTAATTATGGTAGAAGCACAGAATTCAAGGACAACTGAACAAATCAACAAAATCTGCAAAAGTCAGTAAAATCAGGCAGGCAAAACGCTCTTATTCTGAAAATCCTTCTGAATCCACGAGACAGTGGCCCTGTCACAGTATTCACACTACGCCCTAAGGTCTTCCTCGAAGTGAACATTTGTTTAAAGTGCACTTAGTGGAATAAGTGCGCAGGGCCCGAAGCTGTGAAGAGCAGAATTGGGAGAGTTTTGCACACGTTACTATCTACGTCACTTCTGCTGTGATCAGGAAAGCAAACATGGCAAGTGACAACTTCCATTTAAACTTCCATTATACCCAATAAAGTGAAATAAATGCATTACAAAATCGAGCCTAACATTTACTCTACTAACCAAATGTTGTCACAATTTATAGATATTGATCAAAAATGTGAATTCTGCAAAGATGAAGACGAGACGATTCTGCACTAATGTTTTGAGCGTCAATACAGATACACATTGGGATTCTGGGAAAAAAATTTGGATTATTTTGTAACTCAATCTAATCATTTAATCAACTAGAAGCCGAGGATGTAATACTACACTATGAAAACAAAAATCTGATGGTTAAATGGTTAACTTACTCATCTTATTAGGTAAGTACCACGTCCATAAGATCAAGATCTCAAGATCCCGACCATCATTTGAATTATTTAGAACAGAATTCAGAATGTATTGTGAGTCTATCCAATTTATAAATGACATTAATGTGCCTATACAATTAATTTTGTTACAGGAACTATCTATAGAAATGTAATGTTTATACTGCCTTTAGCAATATGCAAATACTTTCTTATTTTTCTCTACATTTATATTTTCATTTGTTATTCCTATAGTTTATATATTTCCTTAAATTATTTACCAGAATGTTTATGATGTTTATTTTTACATGAATGTAATACGTCTACCTGTTGTGATGCCTAACCTTGTTAACAACTGACAAGGAGGCTAAACCCCGTGGGCATCTCTTAAGGTGTCGGGGAGTGAGGTTTACTCTCTGCACAGTCTCACTGGTTTCCGTCACACGGGCTTATACAATACAACAAGTCAGCCTTCTAAAAAATACATGTCCAACACCTTAATCACCTCTGTTCCTCTTTTACTTCTAATGTGTCATTAGCAACTACTCGTCAATAACAGGGAGGCCCTTCTAGGAGATCTGGATGTCACTGCCCTCACTGTCACAGAGGTCAAGGCCAGAATCTCCTCACGAAACTCCTCCGAATGCCCGTCACCTTGTCACGGATAAGGGGGAAGCCATTCAAAAACTCCAACTCAAGGACCTCCGCAATAATCTCAAATATCCTTAAAGACACTCAGCCTTTTAAATTATGCCTGGAACCTCCTTAAAATCATATATGTTCCTCTTTGCCCAGAGCCTCCTCAAGAATAACTAGGAAGCCCTTTCAGTAATCCTGACGCCTCTGCAATAACAGATTTTTGGAGTGGTGAGCCTCCTCATTGGTGACACCCTTCTGAATCCTCTAAAGAACCTAACTAATAAAGAACCTCCTCATAGACTTTACATCGACAAGCCAGATTCTCTTCAACGATCCCAAAAACCAACTTCGTAACCTCCATATAGTCTTCTGGAATTTTCCTCCTAAAGGATTCTCTGGGTTCACAACATAAGAACCACTGACTTAAACATTTTTCATTTCCATATTCAAACCCCTCCCTGTCTGTAATTCCCTCTATTTTCCCCTTAAACTTCTGCATCCTTAAACACTCATCATGAGTGACAACAAAGCCCTCCTGGATCTCCCTCAAACCCCTTCTTCAGAACTTCCTAAAAATCATCCATCAAGGTACCGATCACTAATGACCCTGATCCTCCTCCTCCAAGAATTCTGCATCCTCCTCAAAAGATCCATTTAACCTCTCCAAAAATGTTCCCAAGAAAAAAGTCCCCAAGAACCTCCTCACATTTCCTTGGAACCTCCTGGAAGACAGGAGTATGTCTGCAGAACCACCTCTTCACTAACAGAGGGGTCCTTCTGGGACATCTGGATCCTCCTTAAAAACCTTCAGCATCTTCAGTTGTCTCCGAAATTTTCTTGACGGCTGCTTCAGGTGCAGCCGGTTTGCTCAGCTGGACCCGCAGCCTCTCTTTACTCTGTAGTTTTGTTTAAACAGACTCTGACTCGTTTGCGACTCACCACTAAAGGAAAAAACACTCGGAGATCGAAAGTTAACAAAATAATTCTGTTGTTTACTTTCAACACACGTGTCAAAAAATGACCTTAAATTCGTTTCCCACAACTTATTTGGTCCCTAAACTATTTCCCTCCTCCTCCCTCATTCACATATAAAAACTCCAGGCTGCAGTCTTTCCCTGTATAAAACTACCTGTGAGGAGGAACTAATCAACTCCTGTGGCTTCAACAGGTGGCACTTTATGCAAGGTATCACATGAAGTGCTCTACTGGTATCACTTTAAGAGTACTGGTTTTGGTGCTGGTATCGTAACATTTTAAACGATACTCAACCCTATTACTTAAACACTTCTATTTCACAGCGTTTGTATGTTTGCAGAACCACCTCTTCACTAACAGAGGGGTCCTTCTGGGACATCTGGATCCTCCTCAAAAACCTTCGGCATCTTCAGTTGTCTCCGAAACTTCCTTCATGACAAAATAGAGCCTCTTACAACGATGCCTGCAACCTCGTCCAAGACTTCTGCAACCTCCTCATGAAGGATCAGAGCGTTGTTAACATCCACAAAGATCCTTAGAACCTCCTGGAATTTCCCTGGAACTTCCTCAAGGAGTCCTGCAGCCCCTGAAAGTCCCTGGGTCCATGCTTTAAAAAAAAACACTGCTTTGAAGATTTGCATATTCAGCACACGAGCATCAACGATCCAATCAGTACAGACATGATGACTGTGTTTGTGTGAGTGATTGTTGCTGCAATCAAAGACGGGGGGGGGGGGGGGGGCAGAAAGCAGAGATGGAGGATAATCTACACCACACACACAGTCATAACACAGCCATGCATTAAATCAGCAGCGATGTGCTCTAACAGTCTGTGGGGAGCTGATACAGGCAGCCAACCTGTTCTGTTATGATAGCTTATTGATCCAGCACACACACAGTACAAATGCTCGTGTGCATTTGCGAAGACACACACGGATATGCACACAGGAAAGGGTACGCGCACACACGGCGGTTCAGATCGTCCCCTCTTCACCATTCAGACCAGCACCTCCCCCCCTCTGCCTCGACATGACTCACATATTAAACCTAACCAAACCATCGCAGCATCTGAGAGGAGCCAGCAGCCTCAATTAAGAGCATTCACACACACACAGCTCTTTGCATAATCTCCTGCTGTTGTTTGGGACAGAGGGCCGGATGGAAACTGGTCTACGTCGACCTGGATTCCAGCAGCAGCGGGCAGAGTGACAGACTGGGCTCGTCTCCACTAATTTAAAACCACTGAAATCCGTCCAGCCACACCAGTTTGCAGCATGTGCAGAAACTGAACTGGAAAGCCACCATGCGGAGGGACTGCCTCATTAAATTAGGAGGAGGACTCGAGAACACTCGCATGGTGAGTCACACTGGGAACAAACAACTTTCAAGTTCTTAAAATGAGAAATAACCATGTCCACAGCTAAAAAACTGACATTCACAGGAAGGAAATTAAAGTACGCGGTCACACATCAGTGGCTTTCAAAATAGCAATATGAAAAATTATTCAGCTTTCTGATCTCCACCTCTGTGGTTCGATGTGTAAGAGTGGAGACTCTCCACCTGTTGAAATCAGGCAGCTTATCACGTATCAGTTCATAACTGCTGTTAGCTCAGTTAACTGTGCAGCTAGCATGACAGTCCAGTACGGGATCCGAGCTCAGCAGCCTCCCAGAGATCACCGCCGGGCCGGGGCTGAACACGGCCACCAAGACCGACGGAGGCCAGTTTGACACCGGACTCCGACCAGGACTCTGACTCCGGGTACGACGAAGGCGAAAGGGTGAAGAACAGTCACAATTCACACAACCACAAGAGGACGGTAGAAGGGTAAACTTAAATACTGCTGCACAAGAAAAGTAAGGCGTGGCGGTCAGGGTGGCGGACGGGCTTCTCACTTTGAGGTCAACGTTTTCTCTCTCCCCGACGGACGCATAGTCAAGACCCATCGGTGTCAGTTTGTAACGCACCGGGGATCCCTGTCATAGTTCAGCGCAGTGGGGGGGGAGGGAAGCCCTGTAGCGTCAGTTTATGAGGGTAAAGGCAGGTATATGAGGTTTAAAAGTCAGGAGGTGGTTGGGGTGGATGGAGGGCCAGAACCAGGACTTTGAACAAGGAGACCAGGGTTCGTGTCCCGTGTGAAACAAAAATATTAAAGCAAGTTACATAAATTGCGTCAGTTACGCAAGTGACGTTAGTTAACTTATGTGTTAACTTACGTACGTAGTTATTTAAAACCAAACCAGGATCTCTTCCTAACCTTAACCAAGTAGTTTTTGTGCCTAAACCAAACTGCGACTTTCACAGCTTTAATAACGTGCCGTTTCAAAATGGCGATGTTTCGAAACGCTAGCGTTTTATTTTGAAAATTTAACCTGACGTTGCATATTTGCTGTTGCTAAGCGTTGCTAACTTGACTGCGAAGCCCTAAAGGTCTAAAAATTAGACTAAAGGGGGACCCAGGGTGTTAAAAAGCCAAAGGGCCTTGACCAAGCGTCCATGTGAGACGAGTCGGGAGTGAGAATGTTTTGTTGAGGTGGGAGACTCTTTTCTATGGCCTAATTTTAGTCGCCCAACTTTAACCTTAGTTTATTTTCCATCCCTGTGATTATTTTCTAGCATTGACCGTGCTATAGTTTCCATGCACAGATACTGTAATTAGAAATACTTTGCAAGTAATGCAGAGTTTGGCACGTTGGTCCAATATCAACATTCGTGTCCGGCAAAAAGGATAATTTTTTCTCTCTTACTCTGAAAATTCTGAACAAAAGGAAGGTTTTGAGAGCTATTCAGTCAGGTCATTTCTAACGTGATCCTCCCAGATGTGATTGAACAGGTTTCTTACGATCTCTCAATATTCGCTTACTCCCATCACAACAATAAAAAGATAGTGTGGAGATTCATCAGCAGAGAAACTACTCGACGTTGGATCTTCCCCGTGTTATAGTTTTTCCTTCAGCAGGTGTATTTGTCAGCCTGTGGAGGAAGGTTTCTCTAGTTGGCAGATTCTGCAAACAGCTTGTTAGCACCTGTCAGTTATAGTGACAGTAGCTGCTGCTGTATCTGTGACGACTGAACCGGCTCCCCGCTTAAGAAATACTATTGACGAAAATAGAAATTGTGTCACTTCACCTTTTATGATAAGGCTGAAAGAAAATATACGACAGTAAAAAGCAGCAGAGTCGACCTGCTGGCTGTCTGTCCTTAGATAAACCTTTACCTACAAATTCTACTTTAAAGGGCAGCATTATAAGTTCTGGTTATTACAACTCTAATAAAATCTTTTAATCTTATACAAGCTTCCTTTTTTAACAGCCTTATTTTGTGCAGCCAAACACAATGCAAACCCAATTTATGTAGAGCAAATCTGTGAGAATGAACTGTGGCTGAAATGATGCACAAAACATCTAGAATTCTTCCATTTGATGAAATGGTGCAGCTAAATAAATGAAAACACGCAGTCTGGTTTAAATAATTAAAGAGTCGTTTTCTTTACGTTCTGTGTGTTTAGGTCTGACAAATGTGGTGCGTTCATGAACATTGGAGGATTTATTTGATCCTTTTCAACATTTAAAACAGACATGTTTACCAGCTTGCCGTCTTCTTCAAATCACCCGCATGGTCGCGCACGTGCAGGAGATACAAACGAAACGGGGACGCACTCACCAAAAAGCTGCAGAGCGTTGGCTGGGGGCCAAACCCTCCACAGGGAACCTCTGACTCTGTAAACAGAGCTTCAATGAAGAGCTGAAACTAGCAGGTACACAACATATAAGTTTAAAGTTTAATGTTCTCTTGCTGTATGTAGATTGTTATTTTAAACCGTGCTCTGTGGATTTCAGTGTCGGTCGGTCTAGACTCAAATATCTCAACAGCTATTGGATGGATTGTCATGAATGTTTCTACAAACATCCACGTCCCCCTCAGGATGAATTCTCCTGACCTTTCATGGGCTGCAACTAACCATTATTTTCATTATTGATTAATCTGTCAATTATTTTCTCGATTACTTGATGAGCTGTCGGGTCAAGGAAATTGTGAAAAATGTCCTCAAACG